GTCCTCACCATGGTCCACCAAGTAAGGACCCAGAGAAGATCACGTGGGGCTTGATCAAGAGGCTTGTGGAGAATCTCAAGATTTCCCCAATAACTCACTTATTTATAGATAAGACTCTGGGGCTCAGAGGGGACAGTCAACGGTAGCTTCCTGTCCTGGACTCTTGGGTAACTGAGATGAACAGGATTAGGCCTGTCAAGCTTCTAGGCTCAGGGTCCTGCATGGCTATGCATGGGCAGGAAAGGAGACGGTCACTTCTAAACACTGGTGTTTGGGAGTGTGAGCTCCTGGGACTACATTATCCTCCTACCTCGGGGACCTCCGTTCAGCGAGGAAGAACCTCACGGACCCCACTAAGTGAAGCGACTGTGAGCTTGGCACACGGAATGCCAGGTCCTTCCTCAGCCCTCCCACTCCTGGGCACCAGCCTGAAACCTGAATCCTAAGTAGCTCCTGGCAGCGCCTCCTGTCCCAGGCCCAGAGCTCTGGGTGTTGTTCTAATTTATGGGGCCACGGGACCTGGCCTGGTGTTTTCCTTCGTCACTCTCTCGGCAGCAAGCGTCGCTGCTCTGCCAACCTCTGCCGCATACCCTTGACCTTCCGTGGACCCATCCAACAGGGCCTGTCTATTGAGGTTGAAGGTGGCTAGCTCAGCCCCATGCTAGGCGGTCTGCAACCATCAATGCCTGCAACTCCCACACTCGCCCCATAGCCAATAATGACTCTGTAAGGGGCGGAGCAGGGAGGAGCCATTCTCGGCAAAAAAAAAAACAAACACAAAGAAACAAAAAAACAAAAAAAAAGCCTCAGGGAAGACAGGTTGGGAGAGCAGTCGACAGCCTAGGGTCTACTCCTCCACCCCTCCTCAGCTGTGCAGTCTGACTTTAGGTCCCTTAAGGATGAAAGGGATAACAGCTCCTTTCTCCTGAAGGGTATGAGGGTGGGTGTATGCAAATTATTATATGAATATGAAATGAGCATGTAAATATTGGGAAGGCCGCTGGGTGTTCAATAAACGTTACGGAGTAATATTAAGCAAATAATGCAAGCTCTCTCTCTCTTGTATGTGTGTCTCTCTGTGTGTGCATGTGTCTGTGTATACATGTGTATGCAGGTGCATGGGCTTATCTGTGCATAATCACAGAGGCCAGAGGAGGAATTAGGTGTATTTTTCTATCACTCTCTACTTTATTCTCTCTCCCCTCTCCTCTCCTCTCCTCTCCTCTCCTCTCCTCTCCTCTCCTCTCCTCTCCTCTCCTCTCTCTCTCTCTCTCTCTCTCTCTCTCTCTCTCTCTCTCCTTCCTTTTTTTCAGACAGTTTCACTATGTAGCCCTGGCTGTCTCAGAACTAACTCACTATGTAGATCAGGCTAACCTAGAACTCACAGAGATCCACCTGCCTCTGCCATCCAAGTGCTGGGATCAGCCTCCACTCAGAGACCGCTCACTCCACATGAGACAGTGGTGGGGATTGTCATCCGACTGACAGGCAGTTCCCGCCAGGACCACAAGGTCTGGAAGGAAGAGGCTCCCCTTCACCCTCAGACTTTGACGTGGGGGGGGGGACTTGCTGATTCCTCTTTGTGACTCCATGAAAGAATGAGGGGTCGTCACCCTCCTTCCTACATAACTGGGTGCACTACACACACAGGTCTTGCTCTGTGGCGTCTACTCAGAGGCCCTGGGATGACAGCATCCCTTGGAGTCCTGAGCCAGAACCTGTGTCTCACCTAGGGAGGACTTGGTGAGAAGTGGGGCTAGGGTGGTGGTGGCAACGTTTCAGGGGGCAGGGGACTCCCATCCAGGGTGGAGGGTGGCCAGGAGTCACATAGGGTAGCATGGAAGGGGAAGCCTGAGCTCTGACTATGTCACTCACACCTGAGTCCTGATTGTCACCGGGCAAATGGCTTCCCCTTTCTGAGCCTCCTTTTCTTGGTCTGCAGACCAGGATGCTCTTTGCGACTCACACAGAACCAAAAGGGGCAGCGTGTCCCTTCCTAGTGTTAAGGGACCTCTTCTGGTCCCTTCTGCCTGAGAGGAGGCTTGTCCTTGCAGATACTGGACATGTCCAGATGAAGGAGGTTCCTTTCCACCTGACACATGAGCTCAGCTGGGACTTTCTTTCCCTGGAACATCTGATATTGTCTGGAGGTGTTTTTGGTTTGTCATACTGTATGGGAGAGAGGCTGCTACTGACAGTTGGTAAACTGAGGCAGGAATACCACCCATTACGTTACACTGTACAGAAGAGTCCCCTCAGCAAAGAATTACCCAGAGAGATACTGGGTCTCTGGTCCAGACATGTGCTGTCCAGGACAGTGGCTGTCAGCATAGGTGACCTTGGGACCCTTGCAGAGCAACTAGCAGCTCTGTCACGCCAGATGAGCTTTAAGGGTCACAAAGTGTCACAGGGGAAGAACGTCAGCTTTCTCATGAACTATCTTCCATGATCACGTATTCTGACGATGGCACTTTGGCTACGTTGGGCTTAATAAACTATAGCAGGAACATTAAGTCCATCTAACTTGTGTGTGTGTTATGTGTGTACATGTGTTGGTGTGTGTGTGTGTGATAAGCATTCATGAATACCAGAGGAAGATATCTGGTGTTCTGTGCTGATATTCTCTGCCAGAGGCTCTCACCTCCTGGAACTGAGCTGGTAACTGGCAGCCCCCGGCGACCTAATCTCTGCCCCTCAACAGAGCACCAGAGTACACAGCCACACCCAGCTTTTGACATGGGTCCTGAGGATTCGAACTGAGATCCTCATGCCTACAGCAACACATCGACCTCAGAGCCGGTTCTCCGGTTCTAACTTTTCTTTTGGTTGTTTGGAGACGGGGTTTCACTAGGTAGCCTCGTTTGGCCTGGAAGTTGCTGTGTAGACTGGGCTGGCCTCAAACTCACAGGGATCCATCCCTGCCTCTGCCTCTCAAGTGCTGGGTTCAAGGCATGCACCACCACACCCAGCTTCCAGTACTAATTACAATAGCTAACTTTTATTAGTGTTTCTTGGAGGTGGGGTGAGAGACAAGGTCTCTCTGGGTAGCCTTGGCAGTCCTGGAACTCACTATGCAGATCGGACTAGCCTTGAACATATAGAGATCCTCCTGTCTCTGCCTCCCATGTGCTGGGATTCCGAGCCATTTTTTCTTCTTTTTGAGGTATGTATGCATGTGCTGGAGGTAGACTGAGACAGGGTAATGCTGTGTAGCCCACGCTGAGCTAGAACTCACTATGTAGTCTGAATGAGCCTTTGGCTTGTGGTCCTCAGGCCTCAGATTCTGGTGTGTAGGGGTCTGGGTGTAGGGATTACAGCTGTGTACCACCAACCCTGGTTAACTTATTTATAAAGGTAGACTACTACAACTTTTACAGCGACAACCATGACCTGCGTTCAGCTTCCTTTGGGCTGGTTACAGTCTAGGCTGTGCTGACTCTTGGTATTGGGGAACTCTCTGTGAGCTTTGAGTCCTGGCTGAGGTGGTGATCCAGCCAGAATAGACACTGGCCCCCTTGCCCTCCACCGGGTTTGGCCTCTCTCTGCTAAGGTGGGGCAAAGACAGGGACTTAGGTATGGAACCCCTTTGTTCCTTAGCCCCCAGCAGTGGCAGCATGTCAGTCTCTCAGACAGTCCCCACAGTGCCTGGGCAGGCAAGCAGACAGGCCTGGTGACACCTGTAACTTAGGGACCTGAGCGCCCTGGATGCCGGCTTACCCCTTGGCAGTGCCCAATTCAGAGCTGCGAGAGGGGAGATATGGGCACCCTCCCAGGTCACTGGCGCCTAGACCATACTCCACCCCTGTGTTACAATCCTTAGGGCCCATCCAGTCCTGCTTTGGGGTTGATATGAAGGACCACTGAAGTCCAGACCCAGGTGAAGTAGAGGTTGGGGCTGAGGTCTAAGTGCTAAAGGAGCAGAGAGGGGCCCCCATCTCAGGCTTGCTGGGACCAGTAGGGCCAGGGCCTCCTGTATTAGTGGATGTGCAGCTGGGAAGGAGCTGAAGAGCGGGCAGGGGGAGCGCAGGCAGGGGGAGCGCTGGCAGGGGGAGTATGAGGAGACTCTAAGATGGGCTTTGAAAGGCTAGGGAGAGTCAGGTGCTTTAGTGTCAGAATGAGCTGGGAACAAGGCACACAGAGGATGTACCGGCCCAGGTCATCAGCACAGGGTCTCACCACAGAATCCTGCATCCCCCTCCCTCCAGCATGAGTCTCCCCCACCCTAGCAAGGGAGAGCATTCAGTGTGGCCTCCCAGGCTGCTCACACCACCCCCACAGCAGCTTTCCGAGGTCTCACACTACACCCTACCCGTTTCCTTGGGGTGTGGGACGCCCTCAGTACGATTCTGTCACCCTGCTGTCTCAGGTACCCTAACCCCCATCCAGCATGTGGGCAGAGAAGATGGGGAGGAACAGGTCCTGGCTCCCTGGGACAGCAGTGGGTGGAAAGTGACCCCTCTCTGATCTCAGGGTGAAGTCAGGAAAGGCATTTGGGGACACAGCTCACAGCCAGTGCCTGGGGACAGGCAACCACCAGCAACCCCCCGGAGGGTGAAATCGGATAAGTACCAGGCCAGATTCCACTTGGGCAGCTTCCCTTTGGGCAAGCCACTCCCTAGCACATCCCAGGGTGTTTCTGCTTGCAGGGGTAGGAAGTCCACTGGTGGAAGAGGCTGGGCTGGGTTGAAAGGTGAGCCAAGAAGGGGTGAGGGCAGTGAAAGGGGTGTGTTACAGAGAGCCCATGTATGTTGAGGTCACCTAGGAGAGGGGCTGGAGAGACCAGGCATGGGAAGGCTAGGTTTAGGGAGCAGTCTCAGAGAGGGGGTTGCGACACGGGCTGTAACTCAGTGTTTTAGAGGGGTCTCAGAATTGTATGGAAGTGGATCGTGGCCTGGGCTGTCTCTGAATTTCTGAGGATCTCGAATTGAGGGACAACCGGGATACTGGAGCCAGGTCCAGGATTTGTGAAGGTGAGAGGGTGACTCGCTGTCTCGGCTCACCTGTAGACATCGGTCCAGAGCTGAGTGCCCAGCACGTACACCGCCTCCACGCGGCTCCCGTACTGCAGCCGCACCGTCCGCTCCCGCAGCATCTTCCCGTCGCAGAGCCGACTGCCGTCCGCGCTGCTCCCAGGAATGAGCACCTGCTACAGGTAAGTCCTCCGCTGCGCCTGCGCTCGCCACCGAGCGGCCGGCCGCCTTAAACTGCAGCCGGAGGGCGGGGCGTGGGCGGGGCTGTCCGCCGGACTCCTCTGGGAGTGGGCCTGCAGGCCTGTCCGTCAAGCCTGGCCCCGCCCTCCAAGCGCCTCTGCCCTCAAGTTGTCAATTCCTGTTTTCCGTGTTTGGCTTGTTCATTCTTTTATTCAATAAATTCCCCTTTCTGGACGCCCCTCTTCTCCAACTCGGAGGGGCAGAAAATGCTAGCAGGGGCACCGGAAGGGACAGGGCAGGAGTGAGTGGGTGGCAACCAAAGCCAATCTGGGACCAGGGGACGCTTCTCAGAGAAAACCTCTGCGGCTTCTTAAAGATCTTGCCAACACCTGGGGATGGAGAGGAGCCTCCCGAACACCTTCGGGAAGCTGGACACCCCCACATTAGATCCACATTGCTATGGGAAATAGGGAGTGGGGTGGAGTCCGGGGAACCGTGCCCCTGGCAGGGACCACAATGCTAAACCCAGGCATGACAGCCACAGCGTGACCCTGGGACGGGGTTATCTGGGAGTGCATTCTGGCTGCTCCAGACAACGGTGAGCAGACTGAGCTGGAGCCAGTAGTGAGGACCCCGGATGGGGCGTGAGAGGATGGGGAGAGGAGAGGACTGATCTGAGCGGTGTTTATGGATGGAGATTTGGGTGGCTCCCGGTGGCTGGGAGGGTGTGCCTGGTTGAAGGACAAGGGCAGAGGATTAGGGCTCCAGCCTGCGACACCAAAAGGCGTGCCAAGGTAGAGGTCAGTGTATGGTCCTGGAAAGCCAAGGTGCACCGTGACATCTAGTGGCAGGGGTGGGGTCTGAACCACCCTGAATCCCATCCACAGGCCCTTTCTCTCTGAACCCAAGTCTGATGCTATGCAGTTTGAGGAAGTGGCTTTTTTTTTTTTTTTTTTTTTGTCATGGGAATGGAAACTGAAGGTGGCTGGAGGGATGCGTATTGAAGAGGGAGGGGGGCTCACGGGAGATCCAGCAAAGGGCGCACCGAATTAAACGCGTCGCTGAGAAGTATGCCCAGGCACACCCAGCCAGCCCTGGACTCCATCCTTCTCCTCCAGATGCCCAAATTAGGAGATGGTAAGGACCCCAGCTGTCCCTGGGTATCAGGGATCTAGGAGGAATGTGGGTGGAGGAGTGAGGGCCAGAATCCCAGCCGGAGGGGTCATCGTCTCCTGAAAGGCTTGGGGTTCAGATCCTGGGAGAAGCTGGTAACTTCTGATTGGTCCCTGGGAGAGCGTTCTCCAATCAGGAGGCAGCATGTGGGAACGGCTCCAAGAGGCTCTGGACTGGAACCCCTCCCCTGCAGAGGCGAGCTTGGGTCTGAGGACCCCTCTGCAGGCAAGCAACACCTCCAACAGGGGCAGAACAGTCTTGTATGTCACCCACTCCTACCAAGTAAGTGGGGTCCCGTGTGGCACAAGGGCGTGTCTCCTCTCAACCGAGTGAGTCCCAACAGAGCCAGGGTTGTGCTATGAGGCAAAGGCTGTGGTTACCCAGCGGGGCAGAAATGAGGTGTGCTCTACACGGCACCCAAGGGATACCACCCAAGGTGTTAGAATTAAATTATTTTATCTTTCCAGGAACCTTGTCACTCTGGAGATGAAGAAAGAGAGTACAGAGAGGGCAAAGAACTAGCCTAGGGGTGCACAGCTCCCAACAGTAGCAGTGCAGGAACCTGGGCGCGGACACCAGGGTGAGGGTGGCTCGCCCTGCCTCTAGAAAGCTCACAGGTAATCTCTCAGCACAATGGAAGATACGAAATGATATTCAATGAGACAATATTCAGAAAATGCTGGCAGACTCTGGTCCAAGACTCAGGATATAAAGCCCCTCCCCTTATGCAACCTGCCCCTCTCTTGGCACCCACGCTCAGGCCTCTGGCCTGGTTCTGGCTCACCCAAATGGGCCCAGTGCCAGGCTTGATGAGATAGGAGTCTTTAAAGCCCAAGGGTTTAAAATAGCTGGAGTGGTCACAGCTGTCGGTGGATTGAGGGCCGGAGGTCCCGCACATTACGGCCACTCCCATGGCTCTTACAGAGCCTAGAAAATCCACATGGCTTCTCTTAGTGTCTTTTGGGGAGTGCCAGCAAAGGCCAGGCTCAGATCTGACCAGTTCCCAGCACTGACAGTCCCGGACCCCTCCTCCAATACGACACCTGTCAAACTCGGGAGCAGAGAGCCTGAGCCTGACGCGGCCTCCTCTGCCGGATGCTGTGCTCTGTAGCGGGGTCGCTCTGTGCCTGGCTTTGGGGAACCTGGCTGGGAGGTGACTTCAAACATATATGAACCTATCTTGACGTGGGCAATTCACCAAGGGTATCATCATACAGACAAGATTTTTACAAATACGTGGTTATCGGGGAAACATTTTAAAACGCGTGGTCATCCAGGACCTAGCAGCAAAGACCGATGTGGGCACCTTTTCTTCTGTAGCTCCATCCCTTTCCGGTGTGTGTGGGTATGCTCACCTGTGTGTGTGTGTGTATGTGTGGAGGTCAAAGGTCAATGTCAGGAGCCTTCCTCTAACATCTTCTACCTTAAGTCATTAATTTCATATGTTTTGACTGCATGTATGTCTGTGTACCATGTGCATACCTGATGCTCTAGGAGGCCAGAAGAGGGCATCAGATGCCCTGGAACTGGAGTTATAGACGGCTGTGAGCTGCCACGTGGATGTTGGTCCTCTTAACGGCTGAGCCGAATCACGTCTGTGTCCCCAGCCTTTCCACCTTACCATTTTTGAGGCAGGATCTCTCCTGGATCCTGGAACTCAACATTTTACCAAGATCAGGGCCCAAGCAAGGCCACCCACCCACTCGTCTGGGTAAAGCAAACACTTTGGCACTGTCTAAGTCTCATCATGCAGGACCTGCCAGAGGCAACAGCCATGACACGAAGTTCCAAGGCTGTGCCAGGGACGGTTCTGACATTTTCCCACATTGAGGGTTTGGTAGACTCAGGTCATATCTGCCTCTGGTCCTCACTATCTGGATCCTCTCTGTTTTTTTCTCTGTAAACATAACGCCTATAGCATCCAGCCTGATTGACTGCAGATGGCAGAGGTGACGGGCGGCGGCGGCGGCGAGCTGGTCCACCTACTGTGCCCTGACACATAGCCCAACCCCACAAGCTCGTAGTTCTCTGCAGATGGACGCTGACCTCACTTGAAGAGACTCCCCGTGGAGACAGGAATCCTGGCAGGTTAGAGACCAGAGTGGACTTGAGATGAAGGTGGCTGCTCTTCCCACTATAGCTGTGCCAGGGACTGGCAGCCTCTCATTCCCTCACTTCTGCCCTTTCCCCCAGAAAAGTCCTGTTTCTTCTCTTCTCCCTGTGGATGGGTAACTGGCCCACTGGTGAACGAGGGACAGTGGGGGATGGTAGTGGTAAAGACGATGATGGTGGTGGTGATGATGATGAAGATGATGAAGGTGATAATGAAGAAGATGATAATGACGACGGCACAATACTTGAGGGAGTGAGCCAGAATCTGTAATTCACCAGGCATCCACTGCTAGAAGATACTTAAGGAAACGATCTCGGGAACGCTGGAGAGGCAATGGCCACAAGGTGGCAGCAGGTCCCCATTCTAGAGGCACAGAAGACCGTGTTCTTGATGACTAAGCCTCCTGCAGCTGTCCGACTTCTTGCTCCTTAGGCCTCCGGTTGGGATTTAGGGATTCCATTTGTGTCAGATCAGGTCACGCCGGGCCCCGGGGTGAGCCCTGCTCTCTGGTCACAGGAACGACGGAGAACCCAAGTGAGGGACCCAGTAACCTGCCTGCGGTCACAGGGCACCTTGGGCTGTAGAGGCAGGTCCTCTAGGCCCTTCCTGTCACTTTGGCTTCCTTGAGGCTTTTGTTATGAGAGTAGATGGTCTGTTTCCTTTGGCTTTAAAAATAAATAGTTTACCAAAGCCACATTGTTCGTGTTTGATAAATAAATAAATAAAGAAAGAGAGAACGAACCAGGGCTGTGTTTGGGGGAGGCGTGGTATGGTGAGGTAGAAGGGGGTGCCTCTGCGGGCCCATGCTGAGGTATCTCTTCCTCCTGAGCCATGGACACATGGAGGAGGAGAGGAAAAGGGAGAGAAGAGGCAGAGAGGAAGAGAGCAAGAGAGTGAGGAGGGGCAAACAGCCCCTTGTATAGTGAGTCAGGCATATCTGGCTGTTGCCAGCTAACTGTGAGGTGGGGCCTAGACGAAATGCTATTGCACATACCCACCCGTCCCCCAAAATATAAGCCTTTAAGCCTGTGGTTCTCAACTTGTGGCCGTTTGGGGTTTGCATATCAAATATTGGGTATATCATATATTTACATTACGACTGGTAACAGTAGCAAAATTTAATTATGAAGTAGCAACAAAGTAATTTTATGGCTCATTCCATTGCATGGTATTAAAGGGTGGCAGCATTAGGAAAGGCTGAGAATCCCTGCTTTAAGCTGTTGAGTTCGGGTTAAACATCCTTTATGAACACTGGCTGCTTCCAGGTACCTGACGCACCCCAGGAGTCAGATTCAGGTGGTGGGCGGGAGAATGGTGGCCGGGATGAGGTTGCTGCGAAGATGCCCTGAGCTCTCCCCTTGGCTACTGGACCACGGAAGCAGCCAGCCGTTCTGAGGAACTGGAAAGGCCTCGGGGTCTCCCGCGGACAGTGGGACAGCCTGCGAAGGAACTTACTTCCCAGGAAAGCGATTCTGGGAAAGTCTTGGTTCTGGCAGCACCACGTGGTTCTGGTCAGACCACCTTCGGGAGAGACTGGAGCAGAGATAAGGGTGGGTCAGTGATGGGCGGGGCCACACCCTGATGGACACTGCTTAGTTACCCTCCTCTCAGCCTGCATTTAAGTCTGAGCCTCGTGTCAGAGGTCCGGACCCAGAGGGTGAACTTCAGGGAGAGGGGTCCCTGGATATCTGTGTTTCTCTGCTCACTGCCGGGCTGTGGGGTTGGGAGTTGAGGGTGGGGGCGGGGCGGGTCACGCCAGGCTCTGGCCGTAGCAGCTGCTACCCCCATCTCTCTCCCACGCAGTCCTGTTTTCATCTCTTATCCTCAGAACTTCGCACAATAACGCCCACGCATTACTGTTCCTGCGCGTTTTCTTTGCCTTATGAAGACTCCTGTACACCATGCTTTTCTTTTGTTAAGATGCATTTTGAGGCCCTGAGGGGGCCCTTAGTTTGAGAATCTAAAAAGTCAAAGGAAAAAAAAAATCTTTTGAGACAGGGTCTCCCTATGGAGCCCTGGCTAGCCTGGAACTTATAGACCAGGTTGGCCTGGAACTTATAGACCAGGCTGGCCTGGAACTCACCGAGAGCCTCCTGCCTTTGTGTGTGTGTCTGTGTGTGTGTCTGTGTATGTGTGTGTGTGTGTGTGAACACAGAGGCCTTCCTCTGCCTCTTGAGTGCTGGGATTAAAGGTGTGAGCCACCACTCCCCAGCTTTCCCCCCCCCACTTTAACGGTGTGCACCACCATTTCTGGCCTTTTCCGTCTTTTACATTTAGTTACAGAGGAGGAAACAGGCTCAGAGTGGAAGTGTAATCTATAGAAACACACAGCCAGCACGCAGCAGACATTCGCCTCAGACACAGAGGTCCCCTTGACTCTTGTGTTACACTTTCTAGCTAAGGCTGGACTTTGGCGTGGACCAGGATGTTGTTATCAGCACAGCACCGAGCTGACAGTGAGCGCTCACTAGACATGCCACGTTTCTACTACATGCTTCCTTGAGTTTCTCCCAGAGCAAAGGGCCTAAGCACTTAGTGGCCTGGATGATTGACAGCTCCACCCCAATGACATCAGTACTGGGGGAGACCTATGGGCAGATCTCATGGCACCCAGGGGTTGCCTGATCGCAGAAACGCCAGTCCTTTTTGGAATCCCCTCCCCAGCTGCACATCGTCCTTTCTTCATGGCCTCAGGTTCAGCTCTCCCTTCCACTGACCCTGCACTTGATATGGAGACCATGTGCCTGCTGTGACCACAGAGGGCTCAGTTCTAGGGGCTCATGGGGTGTCTTGTTGATTCCTTTTGTACCAGGCTCTGGGCCAAGTATGTCCTGCATTCCCTCCCCTCACTCTACAGCATCCCTCAAAGGGATGCTTGTTCTCCCCATTTGTTGGATGCCAAGACTGAGAGTCTGAGTCGTGAACTGATACGCAGGCTTGAGGTGGCCTTGTGTTAGGGAGGCTGTGGCCAATCCTCAGGAGGATGGAGGACACAGTTGGATGTGTGGGGGACTCTGGAAGTAGCTTGTGTGGCAAAGGGAGAAGGAGGCTCCAGATGGGAAGAGAAGCCCTTGACGGGTGTTCTGGGAGGCAGGACAGGCTCCAAGTTGAGATGCAGCATGGGCCTGGAGCCAGACTGGGGCCATGTTCAGCTGCCAAGAGGTAGGAAGCACATGGGACATGCGGGTACTCCTGAGGATCAAGCAGGGAGAGAAGAGTAGGGTCCGGAAGGACTTCAGACCCCGGGTAAGAAGTGTGTCCCCCGGGGGAGATGACCCAGCTGCTAAGAGTGTGTACTGCTCTTGGAAAGGACACAAGTTTAGTTCCCAGGTGGCTCACAACCGCCTGGAGCTCCATTTCAAAGATCTGATGCCCCTTTCTGGAGTTCCCGTTCATACATGCATGCAAAATGCGCTCGCATGCGCGCGCACACACACAAACACACACACACACACACACACACACACACACACACATAAAACTAAACCTTTAAGAAAAAAAAAAAAGGGGCTGGTGAGATGGCTCAGTGGTTAAGAGCACTGACTGCTCTTCCAGAGGTCATGAGTTCAAATCCCAGCAACCACATGGTGGCTCACAACCATCAGTAATGATATCTGATGCCCTCTTGTGGGGTGTCTGAAGACAGCTACAGTGTACTTACATATAATAAATAAATAAATAAAAATTTAAAAAAAAAAAAAAAAAGAAAAAAAAAAAAGGAGTGTCCTTGGTGTCCAGATGTCCCCTCCACCCAGCCTTCCAACATTCCGTTGTCCCTCAAGACCCAGCTTAAATAATTACACCATTTAAATCCTGGTGGCAGCAGATGCCTTTAATCTCAGAACTCAGGAGGCAGAGGCAGGTGGACCTCCAGGCCAGCCTGGTCTACAGAGTGAGTTTCAGGCCCACCAGGGTTACACAGAGAAACCCTGTCTCAAAACAAAACAAAAACAACAAACAAACAAAACCAAAACCCAGTTACAACATTTAAACATTTTCTTCGTGGGTATGTTGAACCCTTTCTCACACTGAGATTCTTCATCTGAATAGCCCCAGGGTCCAAGTTCCATCATTTCTTCTATTCTCAGAGTCCACCCACCCCATCTCTGTAGTTCTCAGGTGCTGTAATGTGGAGATTCTGGGGTTAAGTTCAGGAATAAGGCAGCGCCTCGGTGAGGAAGGCAGGACCAGGCCTCTGGGCGTAGCCTGTAGCCTCCACGCTCAGGTATTGGTTCTCGGGGGTCTAGCTATGAACAGATGACTGTTGGGCGTGCTTCAGGAGAAAAAGGCCAGGATGGTTTCAGCTGGAGTGGGGTCTGGGTGTTCTGGGCCAGGGCAGGATTGGCAAAGGAGAGAGGCAACCGTCAGGTGTCCACATGAGCTACAGATGAACATGTGATGGACATGATCCTGTGACAACAGCCAGATGGCAGGTGAGTTGCCACACAGATCTTCAACCTTACAAAGGATTCTGGGCACAGTGCTAATAACTTCTCAGAAGGCTGGAGCATGGGGATTGCTGTGGAGTGTGAGGCCCAGCCTGGGATCCATTGTGAGTTCTAGGCTAGCCTGAGCTACAGAGTGAGATTGTGTCTCAAAAGTCCTATTCCTGAGAAGAGATAATTTTGGCATGAGCTCCAGTGTGGGTGAAACTTAGCATTATGCTAAGATAAGTAAATCTGACACAAAAGGAAAATGGCTTCTGGTTCTGCTTCTGCACAACACTGAGAGTGGCCAGATGCACAGATCGTGGCCTGGGTATGTAGCTACAGGGCTTGCCTGGCATGCTCGATATCCTGGGTTCAAGCTGTACCACTATGTAAAACTGGGTGCATGCCTACAGCCGCAGCATGCTAGTGTATAGACAACGAGTTCAGAAGTTTAAGATTAGCCTGGGCTATGGGAGACCCTGCCTCAAAAAAACAACAGACTTAAGATTCAGAGACATTGAAGGAATCTACTTCCTCCTCCTCCTCTTCTTCCTCCTCTTCCTCTTTCTCCTCTTCCTCTGCCTTCTGGGTTTCTCTGTATAGCCCTGGCTGTCCTGGAACTTGCTCTGTAGACCAGGTTAGCCTTGAACTCAGAGATCCTGCCTCTGTTTCTAGAGCACTGGGATCAAAGGCATGTGCCACCATGCTCAGCTGCATTAAAAATACAAATAGTTTTTCAACGGCTGGTGGCAATGGTCACACACAGAGTGCCATCGAACTGCACCAGCAAAAACGGTTAGACGGTAAAATGTACACAATATGCATGCACCTGTATGTGTACATGTTCATTTATGTGTGTATGCATTTTTCTTTTTAAATTTTAATTAATTAATTTTACATTCTCAATTTCTCCTTCCCTCTTTCCTCCCAGTTCCCCCTCACTTCCCCACCCAGAGTTGCAATAAGCGAGGTGCATCTTCTCCTACTGAGGCTAGAAGAAGCAGCCCAGTAGGGGGAAAGGGTCCCAAAGGCAGGAAATAGAGTCAGAGACCGTCCCTGCTCCTGCTGTTAGGAGTCCCACATGAAGACCCAGCTGCACAGCTTCTACGTATGTGCAGAGAGCCTAGCCCCATCCTGGGCGTGGTCTCTGGTTGGCAGTTCAGTCTCTACGGATTGTAGCATCATTATCTTTTATTTAAGGCTAACTTCCACTTATAAGCAAGTACATACCACAACATTTTTCTTTCTTAGTCTGAGTTA